GGATCCATCCCAGAGTATAACGTTATTGTTGTTCTAAATTTCTCATTGATTTCTTGAATATATGTATCTGTTGTTAAGTGTTGATCTGGGACAACTATGGTCTCAATGTCATTTTCTAGCGTTAGGATTACGGTTTCGGTTTGTGTGGATGTGTGTGATATTTGTGTGCAGATTTGTGAATGGTCGCATGGCTGAGATTGTGTATAAATGAGTTGTGATTGACTGAGCAATTGTGGTTGTACTTGGCGATCATTTTCACTTGTGTTTTGTGTGATATTAGTTTCTACATAGCTGTTAGTCGCTTCTTCTTGAATTAATTGTGTTCGTACTTCTTCTTTTAATTGATCTATAACTTCTTGAGATAGAAGTTTATTCCTAACTATGGTTCTTCTTTGGTCTAAGATTCTTTGTTCTGAAACAGTAATTTCTGGATATTGTCGAGTGAAATGTGCGTGTAATTGTTGTCTGTACGTGGTCATATCGGTCTCTAATTTAGTAATGTATAGATAAGTTCTCATGATAAATAGATTTACTTCTTTACTCCATTTCATTCGAACTCTTGCTTTTCCAGCCTTGGTGGACGCGGGTAAGAAGGTAGATACCTCCCGCGCAGCACTCAAGGTCCGAGTAGGTGGAACTGTATTTAAACTAGTAATAGGGGGTGATGGAGGTGTTGGTGACGATGGTATGGATGGTGATGTTGGCCTCGAGGGTGTGTATGATACTGTGCTTGGACTAAATGGTTCTACAGGGGTGTCTGTCCTGTCCGTCAGTCTGTCACCATCGTCAATGAGTTCGGCTGTAGTATCTTTGTGGGTGGGAGCCCGCCTGTTCAACTCCTCACCGCTGACGGATCGCATGCTGTGACACCCAGCGTCAGCTCCAGGTGCACCCCGGCGATCGCCCCCGGGTAGCGGCCCTATACGTTTACTTTTAGAACGAGTCTCCATTTTATTTATGGGTTTCCAGAGCCACGTTAGCCACGCCAGTAATTTCTCATTCGTGTGTCCGCCCCCCACGTGATTAGATGGTCAATCAGGACGTGTGGTTGTTTAGGGGGCTTATTATTATTATTATTTAAGTATTATTATTGGGCATAAGAAGAACTTTATCCCACTTCTGATGTCGGAAGGTACAACACGATAAGCCAATTGTGTGGGAAATCACAGGATAATTAATTATTAAAAATTAATTATTAAAAATGGTAAAAGTGTGTGAGCTGATGTTCAACTTGCTCTCTTGCTTGCTCAATTTATCATTATCAATAATAGGAAAGCGTAACGCACTATACATTCAGCATAGAGTAATTACAGTTTGACCATACCGCAGTATGTCCCCATCACAATTACACACCAGTGCAATATGAAGGACACAACTACATGATAACACCAAATTATGCAAACCAACAGCAACCTTACCCATCTCAACGTGACACAGCACAGCCTCTCAGCAACACCATCCTCCTTGCCTGCACCAGAAGAATCACCACAATGGACAGAACAACGACTATCTTAGTACACGTAGAATGACTTCACTCGTAAAACGACTCGAACGGAATCTCTCGCGCTCTGCTCTGACTTCTGCGTGGGAGGGTTTCTCTATATACCCCCAATTCCTACAAGTGACGAGATCCAACCGGCATTTTATAGATGCGCCTACATACACACACACACACACACACACACACACACACACAATATATATATATATATATATATATATATATATATATATATATGTGTGTGTGTGTGTGTGTATGTATAACTGCTCGATGTGGGGTGAGCGCTAGGTTACTATAATAGTTGTATCCAAAGATTTTTGTATCTAGCACGAATCATCTTGATACTTTCGGAACTAAGAGAATAAAATAATTTCCACATAATAGCTTATGAGGTCGGTGCTAAGACATAGTGTATATAAGAATTAATATCCGATCTAGGCCTGACATCGGAAGCTAATATGTATAAATTATTTTATTCTTTTAGTAAATTGAAGTCAGCCTTTTTTACTCTATTGAGTAGACTAAGGAATCTCACAACGCCAAGTTAGTTAAGAACTAGAAAGGGGTAAGTAATATATGTTCGAATTGAAAAATATGTATAGAAATACATATATATTTATAAAATAGATTTCGTTCGATATACATTTATTCTGTTTCATAATGTAAAGATAATTTATCTAAATAACAATTTCATTGGTGTCGAACCCGGGTTGCTCGCGTTTACGGCGAGCACTTTGCCCTTGAGCTACCATGGCTCATATCTGTTTTGTTTCTATTTTATAATAATGTTACCTCCACACTTAAAATTGCAATAAATAATTTAATTGGTGCCGGCGGGGATCGAACCCGGTTTGCTAGCGTACTGTGAAATTTACAGCGAGCGCTAACCATCTGACCTACCACGGCTGATTAACCACGTGCTCGGCGGTGAAGGAAAACATCGTGAGGAAACCTGCATGTCTGAGGAATAAGAAAAAATATTTCGAAGACATGTGAAGTTCGCCAACACGCATTGGGGCAGCGCGGCGGACACTTCCTTGCCCTAAAACCCTCTCAGAAATGAGGGGAGGCTTGTGCCCAGCAGTGGGACGTATATAGGCTGTAACTTTTTTTTTACCTCCACACTAAGAATGTTTAAGTATATAGTGGAGGCAGTTAACACAAGAACATAAAATTTCACAAGGACAAACATCCAGACCCGGAACAATTATTTGTAGGTTTACAAACTTTTGTTCCGTGCGGAAATCGAACCCGCGGCCCTTAGAGTTGAACTTATTGCTAAACCACTCCGCCACGGAGCCGTCAAATATATCTTCGAAGCGCCGTCAACTTATTGCTAAACCACTCCGCCACGGAGCCGTCAAATATATCTTCTGTAGGGATAAATATTTTAGTTATAAATTGCTTACTATTAAATAAACTTGAAAAATTATTAATAATTAATTTAAATAATATTATTTAACAAAGTATCATTCCTTGCGTTGTGTTGCGCGAACTATTGTTTATCCTGTAGCTATGCGCCTTATCATCGTTTGCGATAGTGTGTCCATATAAAATCGGGAATTTGGTTTTAAAATCGGGACAATTACAATAGCAACAAAAAACAGATTTTTTGTAGCCATTGTGGTCGCTATTAGTTATATAGGTTTTTTGACACCATTCGCAATATGTTTTATAATTATTATATAGAACTGATCAAATGAACGAATCATTTTTGGTCCAAACATCGTTGAAGACTGAACTTTATGAATAATATAACTGTGAAAATAGTAATAAATCTTATAAACTCACAACTCATGCACTTCAAAGAGCACTTTAAAAAAGAACGGCATAGTTCAAACGGTTTTAATACCTCACACCTTGATAGCCTAGATAAAGTTCTTGCATCGGACATATAATGTTACTTTATTTATTGAAAACAACAGTATCTACAAACGATTGAAGAAATAGACTAGTGGAAGAACTTTTCCACAAGCCTTTTGCGTTTTACTAAATGTACTTATCTAAGCAGCAGCATATAAGTTAGATATTGTACTGATTATTATTACGACGCATAGCGCAAACCGGCGAAATGCATGAGGCAGTGAGAAAAAAAACAAGTAAACATGATTGATATCTGCATCTTGCCATGCCATCACATTACGCGCAAAGCAAACTTTGATGTTGTCTATTTAGTCCAAGTTTGGTGGGGAAATATACAAAGCAAAAGTATTTTAATGTATTAGCAGCTTACTGATATATTCAATTTTGCTGTCAAAATGATCGATAGAAATATAGACTAGTAAGTGAAAAATTGGGACGTTTGGCGTCCCGATTCATCGTTGATCGAGACAAATCCCGCACAAATCGGGACACTTGGCAACACTAGCTTCTGCTATCGGTGTGAATTAACACGTACGCGGGCTGTGGCGGGAAAAAGTGATACGTCCTATCGTTGGGAAGACCCGGAGCGTACTGAATCGGACGGCGTTTGCGCGTGATGACTTATAGTATTTTTAAAATAATCATATAAAATAATTGACTAAATAAAACGAGCTAATTTTTTTTGGATATTTAACATTACCTGTATTTTGATAAAATAAATAAAATAGATAAGTTTATATCCCAATACATGGAAAAAAATTACATTGAAGTGGACAGTTTTGGTGATTTTATAGTATTGTTTTTTTAATATTCAATCGAAATATTTTCGTAATTTAAGCTTTGCTATACACTAAAAGACTATATATTCTATTATAATAATGTTTAAAATAAAGTATTTTAGCTTATAATCATGGTTGTATTCAACCTGAAAGATAACTCTGACGCATATTTTCGTAAAACGCTATGAAGGAATTGTCTTCGGTCTAAAAAACCGTCATTAAAAACTATGATTTTCCGTTGCAATGTACTAAAATAAAAACTTTATCTTTCTAAATCCGTAATTTTCTGCAAATAATTTGCTCACATTGTTACGATATCGCCCTTGAAAAAACCCTAAAACATGAAGTTTTCGACGCAAATAGCATATGCCCTCTTAAGTTCTAAGTAGACATTATGTGTTTATATTTTGATTATCAGATGTCAGTGGTTTTTTTAAATTAATACATAGTAGAAATATACATCGGTCGATCACCAACCAAAAAGCGAGTTCACTGTGTTCTCATATTAGGCGGTCCAAGATAATTTTAATACATAGCCTCAACATGACATAACTATGCGTAAATTTCATTCATTTTTATACTTTTTTATGTAGTGGTAATGATTGTAAATAATCAATTTGGCTAACTCCGCTGGGGTCGATATGAAGTGCGACAACCCTTAAAGTATTGATGGGTTCAAAAAGAGTAAAATAAAAAATCGCTTGTGTATTCAATCCAGTCTTCATTGTATATTACTTACAATCTGGGTCGCATGTCAGCAAGAAACAAGAGACTCTTTTATAGACTTTGTATCGTGTAGTAAATAAATATTGGTGCTCCTAATCATGAGAATTCTCCATTGCGATTTCTGCATAAGACTACGCAGTGAGTGCGACGAACTGATGGAAGACGTCCAAGATGTGAGGGTCGAGATCTTGAGTGAAAAGAAGCGTTTCAAGGGTGCTGCTATACTTCTGCACTTGTTCGTGATGCTGTAAAGATAACATATTTTTCATCTAAAATTTGTCAAAGAAACGTACACAACAGTAATATAACTTAAGCTTTTACTAATAGCGAAGGAGAACAATACACATGAACGTTATAAAACATAAATATGTTACATTTCATTCATAACAGCCTATGAAAAGGCCACTGCTGAAGTTAGGCTTCTCCAAAAGATTTTCACAGTTTTTATATATTTAAGTCGTTATCAGGAAGATGGTGCCGCCACTTAAGACACATATGGGATAATATGAGGTAGTAACACACCTATACAGCCAAATGTATACACACGAACAGGCTACTGTGCTGCAGCTACTGTACCAGTGCGTGTATATATAACAATGTACGCATATGCACACAGTGTGCACACACCACTAGGAACACCCGGCGCAGGCGGGCTACGGTGCTGCGGTACCAGTGCGTGTATACAGGGTTACTGGCAACTCGACGTATTCCCGCCAAGGCGTGATAGTTGGGGTCATAACCTATCAAATGAACCATAAAATGCATACTATTAAAAATATAACTTGTAAAAAAACCAAGTCTCGCAACTCAGTTCTACCGTAAAAAGTTGTGAGATCCATGTAATACCAAGTCGGTTAATTTATTCAGTTCCTACTTAAGGGTCCTTCTGTTTTAAGTTATTACGTAATTAGCGAACCTAACAACATTTTATAGTGACCATATCAATTTTAAAAGTCTTTTATGTTTTAAATATATAGATTGACTTGGCAATCGCATTAAGCAATCTAATTTAATATAATACGTACTCATTGTGGTTTCATGCGATGGCCAAGTCAATCTATATATTTAAAACTTAAAAGACTTTTCAAATTGATATGGTCACTATAAAATGTTGTTAGGTATATATATTTTCATTTTATTATTTTTACTTAATGAAAACCTGGATACTTATTTATCAATACTACATACAACATGATTTGCACAATTGATCACATACAATTATTTTTCACAAAATCATTTTTATTTTTAATTACTTATCTTCTGTTTGGAAAAAGTTGTACTTTTAGTCGCGTTACTTCGTCACCGTCACAATATCCATAGAGATAAAAGACATCTGCGTATTCCTCGTTGGAAAATGATTGCCTTGCATGATCTCCGCGTCTTGGTGGTTCCGCCGCCATAAAACTTTGAAACTCAACTTCTTTAAGTAACAGGGAGGGATATGCGCGCGTGTGTACGATGCCTGTAATACTGGTGACTGATTGAACAGTTCCTTCTTGTTTAACTTGTTCCTAATTTCACACTAAATGTAAACAATAGCGTAAGTTCAAACGCACAATCTTTTACGAGCATTCCCGCAGCTGTTGATAAGGTTCCGAGAAGCGATTGTTTGGGATTACCCAAAACATTACTACTCGGAACTTGTCTACCTGGCCCCTTTTTTTCAAGTTTTTTCTGTACTATTTAAGTTACAAGCTAAATTGATACTTCGTTAGGTAGCTACATAAGTAGGGATGTTTTTAACATGATTTGCACAATTGGTCACATACAATTATTTTTTTAGAAATTTTTGACACCAGACTTTTGGGATTTTTGAAAAAAATAATTAAACCTAAATATCTCGAAATTGGTCCACATTTGCATAATGAATTTTATGGTTCATTTGATTGGTTATGACCCCAACTATCACGCCTTGGCGGGAATACGTCGAGTTACCAGTAACCCTGTATATAGCAATGTGCGCGCATGCACACAGTGTGCACTCACCACTAGGAACACGTGACGCAGGCGGGCTACGGTGCCGCGGTACCAGTGCGTGTATATATGACAATGTGCGCGCATGAACACAGTGTGCACTCACCACTAGGAACACCTGGCGCAGGCGGGCTACGGTGCTGCGGTACCAGTGCGTCTATATATAACAATGTGCGCACATGCACACAGTGTGCACTCACCACTAGGAACACCTGGCGCAGGCGGGCTACGGTGCTGCGGTACCAGTGCGTCTATATATAACAATGTGCGCACATGCACACAGTGTGCACTCACCACTAGGTACACCTGACGCAGGCGGGCTACGGTGCTGCGGTACCAGTGCGTGTGTATATAACAATGTGCGCGCATGCACACAGTGTGCACTCACCACTAGGAACACGTGACGCAGGCGGGCTACGGTGCCGCGGTACCAGTGCGTGTATATATGACAATGTGCGCGCATGAACACAGTGTGCACTCACCACTAGGAACACCTGGCGCAGGCGGGCTACGGTGCTGCGGTACCAGTGCGTCTATATATAACAATGTGCGCACATGCACACAGTGTGCACTCACCACTAGGTACACCTGACGCAGGCGGGCTACGGTGCTGCGGTACCAGTGCGTGTGTATATAACAATTTGCGCGCATGCACACAGTGTGCACTCACCACTAGGAACACGTGACGCAGGCGGGCTACGGTGCCGCGGTACCAGTGCGTGTATATATGACAATGTGCGCGCATGCACACAGTGTGCACTCACCACTAGGAACACGTGACGCAGGCGGGCTACGGTGCCGCGGTACCAGTGCGTGTATATATGACAATGTGCGCGCATGCACACAGTGTGCACTCACCACTAGGAACACCTGGCGCAGGCGGGCTACGGTGCTGCGGTACCAGTGCGTCTATATATAACAATGTGCGCACATGCACACAGTGTGCACTCCCCACTAGGTACACCTGACGCAGGCGGGCTACGGTGCTGCGGTACCAGTGCGTGTGTATATAACAATGTGCGGGCATGCACACAGTGTGCACTCACCACTAGGAACACCTGACGCAGGCGGGCTACGGTGCCGCGGTACCAGTGCGTGTATATATAACAATGTGCGCGCATGCACACAGTGTGCACTCACCACTAGGAACACCTGACGCAGGCGGGCTACGGTGCTGCGGTACCAGTGCGTGTATATATGACAATGTGCGCGCATGCACACAGTGTGCACTCACCACTAGGAACACCTGACGCAGGCGGGCTACGGTGCTGCGGTACCAGTGCGTGTATATATAACAATGTGCGCGCATGCACACAGTGTGCACTCACCACTAGGAACACCTGACGCAGGCGGGCTACGGTGCTGCGGTACCAGTGCGTGTCCGGGTCGCGTGCGTCGGTGTCGCAGCGCACCAAGTGCTCAGACAGGATCATGATGAAGCGCTGGAACACGATCAGGAACAGTCGCTTCTGGTCCGTGTGCGCCATCTCCAGACGCTCTTCCATGCGCTCTACCGCCTGCAAGCCATACCGAAATAATGAGTTTCGAAGGCAAACTTACCATCGGCCAATATCAACAACAGCTACTTCGGAGTGGAAAAGGGACCACGGAGCAATATCAAAGGCGAGTTGCCAATAAATAATACATTTTCATGGGTTTAATATTAATTTGATTTAATATGATATGTGATAATGCATGGGATTAAAAACTGATTTTGATTATTTATGTGTTTGCACAAATGTAGAGTCCGGCCATTATATCTACCACCTCGCTAATTAGACAATTAATTTCAAATTAATCGATTAATAAAATATTTAAGCCCTATATATCGAAACATAGATACCTCTTCAGTCGGTTTGTCCTGATCTTTCTTCTTCTTGCTTCCACTTTCATCCTCTGAATCGGAACTACTCGAGTCAGCTCTTGCTAAGGCCTCTCTGGCTTCTTGGAGTTCGGCACCTTATAATAAATACAAAGTAATGTAAAGTTTATATAATTCTTTAAAACAGTGACGATAATGCGAAATTCAGGACATCTAGAAGACTTACTCAATTTAGAGACATGTTTATTCATCTTATCGATAGTCAAATGCAGTATCTCCCACAGATAATTGTGTGTGAAAAATGGCGCCATGTCTTTAGAGAAGAGCCACGTTGCTACAGCGCTGCACTCTACCACTTGGGTCTTGAGCATTTTATCCACTAACACGCACACCATTTGAGGATGTCGCTGCCATAGCTCCCACACGTTACGTAATACGCAAATTTGTGCTTCCTCCGACTCAGCCAAAATCTGGAACACAATGTAAAATTTAATCAATTTTACTATTTTAATGTGATTTTTATTCTCGTTCCCCTAAATAACACGTAGAATAGCATAGCTGAACATGAGTTATTAGGGAGTTTTTGCCGATATCAACAAACAGGTGAAGTAGCGATCACCAGCCATATACGCAACGCATCTATAACACTCACGTGATGTCATCCGTCTCCGCTTGACATTCAACAGCAACCGTATCAAACTATCGAAAGGTCATTAAATGAAATAAAATTCACGGATTTTATAGTATTCAGTTTTAACATTTCATCTCCAACGTTGTGCAGCACCTATGGTCACCCTATGTCGCCATGAGTGCTGGGTGGTAAAGCACCTGAAATGTCGGGAATTAAAAAATTGAAATTAAACGCGATAAAGTCCGTAAAATTAGTTTCATTTTTTTTTATATAATAAGGATGACAAACGAGCACACAGTCCACCTGATGGTAAGTGGATGCTGTGGCCCACAGACATCTATATTTAACCTCGATAAAGAATCAAAATGCAGATGCATTGTCACCCCTGAGGACTAAGATGGAATGCTTCGTATCCAGTAAAACGGGTCTCCGGTTCTCTACACTCACCATACGAAACACAGCAGCATTAAGCTGCTATTTTAAGCTGGTATTCTGTGAGAGCGTAGTCCTGCCCTGGTCGAGCCAACCCATTCATGCTACAACCATTATGTCGTTATTAAAAAACGCTGCTGCCCATATTCCGATTTGTTTCCCTCTGTCGCCTCTTACTATACCAATGGGGTGATATGATGATATAAGAGATGATTATCGATAGTTGACCTTGAAGACGTAGTGGAACTTTGATATGGCGGCGAAGCTGTGCGAGATGCTCTTGCTGCCGAGGTTGAGCAGCGTCTGCACGAACACGTCAATCTTGAGCGGGTTGTAGTGCGGCGCGTGCGCGGCGGCCGACTCGCCGTCGCGCAGCGGATTGGGCAGCTCGCGCACCACGTTCAGCGCCTCCTCCGCAGAGCACTTGTTGCGCACGCACACCACCAGCCGATGCGCCGCCTCCGTGCCCGGCAGCGACGCTACACACCAAACCGTTTGGAATCTTTCAATCATACATATTTAATTTCAATAAGATGCCATGATTAAAAATAATAATGGTCTCTAAACCGAATTTCGGTCATGGCGGCCAGCCTCAAAGGAGACTAGCCTTCTACGGATTATAGTGCCAGAGTGTTAGCACAAGCACAGATGCACTCTTAGCTCTACGTGCACGCCGAGGCACAGGCCTAGATGGAATATTGCCAACTTCCTGACTGCGGGCTGCTAATGGATAACTGACTTTTGTTTACGTAACTCGGAATTCGAACACGAGACCACGAGAACGACGCAGGCCATGACGTGTTTAAGATTGATTGATGTTTAACATTGATGCTGTTTAACATTGTTTCGTTGGTCTTAGGGTTCATAAACGTAACTGCTTATCATGAGGTCCCGAGTTAGAAAGTCCGATTACTGTTACCGTTACAGCCCATTAAAGTACACTGCTGATTTTTTTTATCAACTAGCTTTACGGCTCTGGGTTCTAGCCCTTCTGAGCCAATCATTTCTTTCGGAATTTTTTTATTATAATTAAAATTATAAATTTTATATTCTTTTTCTTCACAATATGCTGATGCGTCACATTGCGAAGCCCTTGGGAGGTTTTGACGAGAACTCAACCCATCGGACAGTTGATGACGACCGCCACTCAAGTTCATGAGGCACTTGTTTCATCATTTTCTCTAATATTCCACACGCGCGAACACGTAATTCACAAAATCGCATCACTTTTACGATTCAAAATCCACTTCAAACCATTATTTAAGCAACAAAACAGAGGCGACAATCCGTCTACGGCCAAGTTACCGCCAAAACTCGTACACTGCTGAATATAGGCCTCCCCACAGAAGGCCTCATATGGGGGATATTCACCATAGTTGCCACGGTTGGCACGCGGGTTGGCAACCGCAGGTATTTTTATTTTTAGACGTTATCAAGAAGACACTACTACCAATTTCCTGATTTACTTTCCTCTATCGCCTCTTACGAGACCCACAGGATGATAAGGGGCAGTGGATATTCTTATACCGCCACTACGATTGGTAACTATTCTGGGTTGGGCAAACAAAAATCAGTTATCTATCAGCAGTCAGGAAGTTGGCGATGTTCCACCTTCTTGCCTCAGCAATCACGTAAAGCTGAGAGTGTACCGGTGCTTGTGCATACATTCATTCACTATCCCGACCTGCACAGATGGCTAGTCTCAGTTGAAATTTTTTTTTATTATTCTAAAGTTAAAAGTAAAGTTACAGCCTATATACGTCCCACTGCTGGACACAGGCCACCCCTCTTTTCTGAGGGGGTTTTAGGGCAAGGAAGTGTCCGCCACGCTGCCCCAATGCGTGTTGGCGAACTTCACATGTCTTCGTAATGTTTTTTTTTTCTTATTCCTCAGACATGCAGGTTTCCTCACGATGTTTTCCTTCACCGTCGAGCACGTGGTAAATCAGCACTTAAAATTTCAATTAACAATTTCATTGTGCCGGCGGGGATAGAACCCGGGTTACTCGCGTTCTGTTATATTTACAGCGAGCGTTAACCATCTGAGCCACCACGGCTCATATTATTCTAAGCCAGCGCTTAACTACAATCCCAGCTAATGGTAAGTGGTGACGTAACCTAAGATGGTGAAGGGTTGACAAAAGCCTATTCACTCTTGCCTTGAAGACACCACACTGTAATCGGATGGAAAGAGAGATGCTGGCAACTTATTCCACTCCTTTCTTGTACGCATGGTGAATGATATGGTGGACATTATTATAATTGATATAAAAATTTGGATCATTGATTATCAATAGTAAATGTGTAAAAAAAAAGAAAAATATTTAGACGACATATCTTACGAAAAATTTCTTAACGAAGGTTGGCAAGTATTCTGTGATGAAAATAATGATATACAAGTTTAAAAAAAATGTATATTAAAATGTCTAGTTACTTCGCATTCCTACTGGTTACCTATTGGTCAAATATCTGCCGCGTAAAATAATTTATAAAAGTAAATATTTATTTGTTTTAGCTCGTCCATTATGAGTTTCTATACCATGTTTCCGATTGAGATGAAATTTTAGTAAGTTATGTGCACGCCCCTTCGAAGGATTCTGACAAAATATTGAACATGTTTTGTTTATTCCTTTGTACAAGGAAACTTCGGTGAGTTTTAGCACCACCGCGACGATTTTGGCTCACAGCTAGTTATAAATTTTAAGAACGAAAAAAGGAAAGCCTAAGCGGACTATCTGCGTACTTCACACCTTTGGACAATAATTACAGCAACGGAATAAAAAATGGAACTCTGTTACACGAGTCTTTTATTAATAAGGGTAACAAACGAGCACACAATCCACCTGATGGTAAATGAATGCTGTGACCCATAGACATCTACATTTAACCTCGATTAGGAATCAAAATGCAGATGCGTTGTCACTCCACTCCTGAGTACTAAGATGGAATGCCACATTTCCAGTATAAAGGGTCTTGTTCGCTTGTCTAGACTCACCATACGAAACACAGCAGTATTAATGTGCTATTTTACGCTGGTACTCTGTGAGAGCGTGGTCCTACCCCGGTCGAGCCTACCACGTATAAAACGAGTCTGTTTTTGTCTTTAAAGCTTTTTTTTATACTACTTTCATTACTTCCATTTCCTCTTTTGATAAAACATACATGGACAAACTCTATCTCCTTTCACCCAGAGAGGTAGATAGAAACTAAGAACTTACATTTGGCGCAATCCTGATACACTTCCTTTGTTTTTTTTACACTTGATCTACGCTTACATGCTCGTCAGTTAAGGTTACCCCATAATTTGGCTCATGTGTACTTCATCGCCACCTTGGTCGATAAATTTCCGTCTTTAAGGGAGTCGCTTATCGCCTCTGTCAGTATCTTCTGCCGTATAAAGCTTTTCTACGTGTCTAAATGTTCTACGTGTCTTTTTTTAATCTGTTCACAACATCTTGACAACCCACACTTTTCTCGAATCACACAATTTCCCACCCTATCATTCAGTCATTCTTAACATATTTCTGGACTTATTTGATAATTAAAACCATTATTATTTAAAAATAAATTATATTACCGTTACAGCCTAAGGGAATATTTGCCATAGTTGCCACGCTTGGCAAGCGGTTTGGCAACCACAGTTTATTTTTTATTTTTTGTCGTTAAAGACGCCGCCCCTTTTTCTGATTTATTTCGCTGTGTCGCCTCTTACGACACCTACAGGATGATACGGGGTAGTGAATGTGTTAAAAATTAAAATATATATTTTACTAAAAAAACAATGAAGTAGCAGTGTACCGGCTTCCTTAGTTGAGATATTCGCAGTGATAGCCGCACCAGAACAATACTGGAAATCGAGTTGCGCAAAACGCAGTGAGCTGTTTCATATCAGCGTGGTTATTTTCGCGGGCGTGGGAACCTTGCTCGTTTCATTAGCGTCGGAAAGCAATTAAATCTTAAGTAATCGTGAGTTAATATATACATAATTAAATTTGGATAACAAAAGCTATGAGAGCCGTTTTGTCTCAGGAACTTATCGCTAGCTATAAATGTAATAGCACGCGAACGCTCCGGGTTCGAGCCCCGTTGGCACCAATATTGTTAATAATAATTTTATTAAATTAATTAAATTAATTCAAATTATTAAGATTTTGCTCGTTTCTACACAGTAACATAAGTTTATTTAGTAGAAAGGTTAGTTTCCTGTATTTGGTAGCTCCTAATTTTGTTACAAATTCCAGCTAATTTTATTTTACTGTATAAAGAATATTACAGAACACAAGCGTAAAATAGCAGCTTAATACTGCTGTGTTTCGTATGGTGAGTGAAGAGATCCGGAGACCCGTTTTTACTGGAAACGAGGCATTTTATCTTAATCCTCAGGGGGTGACAACGCATCTGCGTTTTGATTCTTAATCGAGGATAGATGTAGGTCTATGGGCCACAGCATCCACTTACCCATCAGGTGGACTGTGTGCTCGTTTGTCACCCTTATTCTATAAAAAAAAATTTTTGTAGATATTGTTTATTGATCATTAATGCAATGCATTCGCATTATAACCACAACTAAGGTCCCGTTGTCATAATTATCATCAGCTTTTATAGTCTTTCCAAGAAATTTCCAGTAGTATACCTTAAAAGAAGAAGAAGCACGAAAGTAGAATAAATGCCGTAGAAATGCGGTCTTTAAGGAGTATGCTAGGGTTGAATCTGAATGACAGGGTGAGAAATTGCGTGATAAGAGATAAATGTGGTATGCAAGATGATGTTGTGACCAGGATTAAGAAAGGAATGCTTCGGTGGTTTGGTCATGTAGAAAGAATGAATGAGGAAAGAGTGACAAAGCAAATTTATATGGCAGATGTGAACGGCCGAGTCGGGAAGGGACGCTCGAGAAAAAAGTTTATCGACCAAATTGGCGATATTTTGAAAAGGGGCCACGTTAGAAGTACTCTTTACCGACGAGCATGTATGCGTAGGTATATGGATGTAAAGGAGGCGAAATAGGTATGTCAGGATCGTGCCAAATGGAGGTCCATAGTCTCTGCCTACCCCTCTGGGTGACAGGCGTGAGTGTCTATGTATTCCTTAAAAGAGTTGTACGTAAACATTAATCACCACGCTGAGAAGGATTTTGAGTTGCCAACACAAAATAATGAACATTGTGGTTGCCAACCCGCCTGTCCAGCGTCGCAACCTCGCAACTGAAGCAAATATCCCGCCTTTGTGGCAACCTATGCGAGAGGCTTTTATTCACCACTGTAATTTTATAGGTTGCAATGAATGATAAAATGATTTCCACATAATATTCAATCGATCGCTAGAGCCTCGTTCGTGTAGACTGCAAAGCGTGCAATTTCGTGTAACAAGATACATTAAACGACATAACTAACGCAAACATCTGATATTAATGTAACGAGGAAAGCGCGTAAATACACGAACTACTGAAGCATAACATTGCCAATATTTAGCACGTAAAGGTAAAGCACGAGACTTTATTGTCTTTACGCACT